GCTAACGCGGACTTTGATTAGGTTCCCACGTTTTGTTTTACAACAACAAGAACATCAGCGTCTACTTCAAGGACAATTGGTTAACGCACCTTTTGGCGAGTGCATGTGCTGGTCTGTCAGCAGCAATCGTTTCACTTCCATCCGATGTGGTGAAGACGAGAATGATGGACCAGATAAGACATGAACTGGATGCGAAAATGTATATTTTCACATTAATGATGGAACATTGGTTCGTTCCATAAGTTCTGGCAGTAGGTCAACAAACAGCAGATTTTTTAACTCGAATAATCAAAGTTGCGTGATTTTGGTATCGTTCAATTGCGTATTTTCTTGCGAACACTCTAGTAAACAACTTGCTTAGATCTGGTTTGAGATTGGGCTGTCTTTGGGACAAATTCCCTTGCGACTAATGCACGATTGGCGCATAGGGAAAATGCTAGTGAACTTCCTTAAGATTAATGGAGCTACGATCCATCATGATTGGGTTTGCTGAAAGAACGGCTAGAAAGTGGTATGGCGAAGTTCGAAGCTGGAGAGAATAGTCTGGAGGATCAATTGCGCTCGGACCGTCCACAGGAAGCTCCATGAGTCTTGTGCGCTCTTCATTAGCATTTTCCCTTGCGCGCCATTCGTGCATGAGTAGCAAGCAAATTCGTTCCCAAGACAGCTCCATCTTGAAGCAAGTATAGGCAAGTTGTATACGAAAATGTTCACAAGAAAATGCGTATTTCAACGGTGCCATAAACATGTAATTTTAAACACTTCTAGTTATGAATTTATTGTTAATTACTCTGGTGCCAAAACACAGGGAGCGAGCTAATATAGCCGATCATTTACTGTCATAGATTGAAGACTGCCTTACTCTCATTAGACTGTTCAGGACCAATACCGAGTGTCGTCATATTCATCTTTACAAGGGATGTGTAGACTGCTTCGTCAAGATAATCCGCCATGAAGGGTTTTTATCTTTGTACAAAGGATTTCTTCCAAGCTACATGCGAATGGCACCTTGGTCGCTTACATTCTGGGTTTCGTATGAGGAGATCCGCAAGTTTGTTGGAGCGCCTAGTTTTTGAATCATGAGTCGACCATTTTTAGAATTATCGATGTTTAGTTGAATTTCCATATTCTCATTTTGTTCATATTATCAAAAATCTAATAAGTTGAAATATATTAAGTCGTTCCATTGGTTTTGGCACTGGGGCAGTAAATTAAATAGCGAATTCAATAATCTAAAGAGACTAAAATTGCATGATTTTGATAACTTTCAATTGCACATTTTCTTGCGAACGTTTTGGTGTACAACTTGCCCGAGCTAGCTATAAAAAGGAGCTGTCATGGGAGTTAATTCGCTTGCTGCTCAGACAGAATGGCGCGTAGGGGAAAACGCCAATGAAGCGGCGCGTAGGATTACTGGAGCTTCCAGGGGACGGTCCAAACGAGACTGATCCTTGAGACTGTTTTCTCCAATCTTTCGTTTCGAGTGTTTTCTTGAGACCATAGCTCAAATTTCAATATGCCTGATAGTCATTTTATGAGCCACGCATGTCAGTGGTCTGTCAAAGAGGGCTGACTTATAGAGCACGATATACCTGTTTCGATCTTGCGATCTCGTCAGTCGGGCAGTTACCCTTTCTCGTCTTTTGCTAATCTCTGCGGATGCTCCAGTCCCCACACTAAGAGTTAGCAACGACGAACGTTTTACACTCCATGTCCAGTGAAATTTCCACCGAGCACAGAGTGTTGTACACTCGATTCTCTTGGATGGTATATTCAATATATCATGTTTTTCGTTTCGAGTGTTTTCTCAAGACCATAGCTCAAATTACAATATGCCTGATAATCAATTTTTTCCTCTTCGAACTTCTCCAGCTTTGAACTTCGCGAACCACTTCGTAGCCGTCTTTTCTGCAACCGTATCATTTCCCCAGACTCCATTAATCTTGCGCACCGCTTTACTAGCCTTTTCCCGTACGTGCCATTTGTGCATGAGTAACGAGTGAGTTTGTTCCTACGACAGCTCAACCTTAGAGATAGTATAGACAACTCGTATACCAACATGTTCGCAGGAAAATACGCAGTTCAATGATACTAAAATTTTGCTATTTTATCTAGTTCTGATCTATAAATCAGGTGTTAATTGCTGCACTGCCAAAGCTTATGAAACGACCTAATACTGCTTGATATGAGGGGAAAAAACAAAGGTGTTTGCTCTAGTCACTCCCCTTGTTGTGATGTTCCATTATGGTTTAATCTAGGCGATTACTCTCACGTTATTTGTATACAAAGTACAATTCTTAGGTAGCGATTTTTATGAATTGTTACGTCGGGCACTCTCTGTCCTTCTTATTGTTCCGTTATATTCCATCTTTTTTGGGGACGCATGTTCGATGTTTTACCAATCAATCGCCAAACTGATCTATTAACTAGAATCATCCCTAGGCAGTTATGTTCGTTATGTGTTTAGATAGGTTCGATGCTAGGCTTTGCTGTAATAAAGCGCTATAAAACAGTGCGAATGTATCGTAATCTTGACAGTCAATGTCAATACCTCTTTTGTCTGCGATGAAAACTCATGAATGGGCGATTTTGTGGATGATTTTTTTACTCTTATATCTTTATATGTACCATACGTTGATAGTCCAGCTAGCACTTTTACATATCGCCCCTTCAGATATTGTAGGAATCGCAAAATGTCATTGAATGTTGACAGTTATGACTTGAATTGACCACCGAGGACCTATCAATATGACGTGTCTGTGTCTTTATCCGCGAATGCCAATTTGCCGACTAAGGGGTGATGGCAGATGGTTTGGCCAGGTGCGCGCGGAGTTGAACCAAAGAGCTGTGTGTACCGCAAAGCATTGCTAACTTTCGCTAAACGGGCTATGTGGGTTGTAGTAGAATAGTGAAATGAGCCCTACAGAGCTTTTCACTCTATGATAAAAGTTTTTGGAAAGTTTATTGATGGTCTTTTTCCTTTTTATCCCTTTGGGGACCAGCATTGATAAGCAGGCGGCGTTGCGCCGTCGCTTTCCCACGAGACTCGACGCCCACCATTACAATACCTAAGTGAGATCTGGTGTTACGCGGTGAGAAGCAAGATGCTTCTTACGGTCCTTAGAGGGTTATATTCATTTACACTGATATACGAAGCTCAGTGAGGATGTTAGCAGTCTGCATAGAGACTAGGGGTTGACAACCTCATAGTTCGTTGACCTTGCTTTGGTATGGTACGATAGAATGCTTCAGTACTATTGTCGAAAGGTTTTGAAGGAATTTTATGAATTTATACTAATAGGGGTGTATGATGTGGGGATGTCGTGGCCGAGTGGTTGTGTTGCTCGTCGTGGCGCGCCTGGGGCCGATTTCCATCTCCCCTGACACTCTCTGGCAATCAACAACGACGAACGCCCCCTATGGAACGCCACAGCTAGGCTATGATATTGCAGAGACGCGCTCAGCCAGTATTTTACGACGTTCAAGAAGAAGAGGAAAAACGAGTTGAATGAAAGAAGTACCGGGGATCCGCACAGTGAAGAAAATACACTGAAGACAGACAATGAAAAGCCGAGAGTGTGTTATGTAATGGTGCACATCTCAGGGTTTGCAGTACACGTCGTCTGAGGATGCATTGTGTACAATGCATGCATACAAAGAGTAGAGTGCGTGGGCGGAGTGGATTACACTCAGTGCGTTCCTTTCCGTGTTTATATTCCGGCCGATGGCTCATATAACACTGACGTTACATCAGCTGTGGCCAACGTAAAGCTATTGGTCCATAGACTTCGGTTGCAGCGAGAAACTGCTCTTGTTCAGGACATCATACTTCCGGTGATAACGCCCAGAGACGTCACCCCTGCTGTGTGCTTGACTATCGAGGTACGACCCTTACAGACACTCTACACTATGTTGAGATGATAAGTTATCATGAAACTCTTAGAATGCTTCAAATGCAGTTCCAAAAAAAAAAGAATGTTTTAAGCCTAAACGAGGTTGGTACGCCAGGGCCATACACCGGTGTTTCAGAGGTTTCGGCCTCCTCGTCAGTGACCCACGCCCCACATTAAGCCCTGCATTGCAGCAAGGAGGAGGCGTATGTGGTGATGGCGCAGTGTACAATGACACTGGTCTATCACCACTTTTTGAGTCGATGGATTTCGGCTGCTAGATTAAAAATAATCCGTAAGATCGATTGTTTCTAACCCCTGGTGATAAACATTCAAAATAATCTAAAAAAAAGGATGTTTTAAGCCTAAACGAGGCTGGTACGCCAGGGCCATGCACCGGTGTTTCGGAGGTTTCGGCCTCCTCGTCAAAAAATAGTCGATCTTATGGATTAATTTTGGTCTACCAGCCGAAATCCATCGACTGAACAGTGGTGATGGACCAGTGTCATTGTACACTATGCCATCACCACATACGCCTCCCTCCTTGCTACAATGCAGGGCTTAATGTGGGCGGGGGTCACTGACGAGGAGGCCGAAGCCTCCGAAACACCCGTGAATGGCCCTGGCACACCAACCTTGTTTAGGCTTAAAACATTCTTTTTTTGGAATTATTCTGAATGTTTATCTCGACGTTTTAAAAACAGTCGATCTTATGGATCAAATGCAGTCATTTTACAGTTTAAAGCTGATAATCTATGTATGCATACAATGTGCATATCACGCGTAGAATTAGCGCTGCATAAACAGCTGAAGGATAAAGCTCTCAACGTTGACCAGTCCTTGAATGAACGAGGCATACCTGCATTGAGGCAGCGTCAGAGATTACTGGATACAGATCTCGCTTTCATAGAAATTTCCGGTGGCTTACCGATGTATCAAGTCGGTGCTGTTATCCTCCCAAATGGTTCTAGTAGCACTTCACCGACGGCGCATGGTTGGAGAAGTTGGTGAGCCTTGGACGCGGGAGAGAACCATCAACGACGTGTGAGTTGCAGATTTTCGCCAAATCTTCCAGATCTTTTCGATAGACGAATGAGCAACGTTCAAGATGCCTCGGTGGTGTAGTAGTGGTAGCGCGCGTCCCGGTATGGATGAAACGAGGGTTCAACTCCCGCCTGAGGTTGAATTTCGCTTACCACACAATTCTCTTAGAAATGAAATTCTTTTTATTAAACAGCTCTAGCGGTGGTTTGATGTTACACAAATGTATACCCATTGATGTAGAGTGATGTGCAAAACTTTAGCGTCAGGCGGGACTAGAACCCGCACCTCATTCTTTCCCGGAATGCGTGCTCTATCAGTTACGCTACTGACGCCCATTTTGCACATCACTCTACATCTCTTAGAAATGTTTGAAACATCATAACATTGTGAAAAAGCAGTGGAAACATAAGAAATCTTGGAATGAGACCAGCACAATGGCTGTCTGCTTAGTCAGGTTTATAGAGCGATATTACTGACCCGATTGAATCTCTTAATGTTTGGTGGCCTATAGGTGTGATGGAAAGATATTGAAGAATGAGTAGTGAGTAAGCGGTGTCTTCGGTGCTAGCACGCGTCTCCGGCGTTGATGAAACGCGAGTTCGACTCCCGTCAGCTCGGATTTCTGCTTACCACTTAATTCTCTCAGGATAAGGAATAAGATGTGAGGGTTATTAGAATTCAGTTTATGGCTTTTAACTGGATCATTTGATTTCTAGTCGCTATGATGAACGATGAATGCACTGAGATAGTACTACTCTGATCACGTCGTAGTACTAATTACTAGTGTTCACGGTAAAGTGTTGGACAGAGAACACGGTGCCTGTTTCTATCGATTTAATTGTAACTCTTCAATGTTATCTTTCTATCAAATGGTCTTCCGCCTTGTCCTGTCTGGGAGGTACCCATGGGTGTCGGACTGCAAAGTACAGCGAAGGGTTCAACCATCCAGTAGGGCCACCCAATCTGAGGAGTTCCGACATTTTCGCTGGTAAGGCCCAGCTAAAGGTAACCGTACCAGGAATGACCGCCGTCTTGGTAAGTATTAGTCGCAACGTGGTAACCTCTCTCTCTCTAATCCACAACGGTCGGCGATGTGGAGTATCATATGCTGGCTTTGTGAACGCACAATTTGTGAAGACGGATCGTCCCAGACATCCAAGTAATGTTTTGTCAGGAATGGTGGCAAGTTCCTAACCCTCTGGGGTTTTGTTGACCTTGTGTAGAAATGAAGTGAATGATGTAGTACTGCAGCAAATGTAAGTAACGACTAAGAGGGCTTGTCAAATCCAGTATGAATGCGAAGAGAATTGCACATGATCCTGTCAAAGCCGTTTCTGCTGCTTAGCTCACGCATGCTTAAATGTCAAACTTGTCTGTCATGGCCTTTCATTTAAGGCTCAAATAGGCCTTATGGACTTCTAGCGATCTGAAGCTGTCGGTACGAACTGTAGAAATGAAGTGAGTGATGTGGTACTGATGAGGAGATCTTCACACAGGAGGATCCAGAGAGCAGTGAATGTCCAACTTTTTTTCTACATTCCCACACGTGGCCGAGTGGTTGTGGTACTCGTCACACGCGTGGGGATCCGAGCTCTACCTCCAACTCTCTTCGGCAGTCAACAACAACGCGCTATGCAGCACCACAGCCAGGCTATCCTCGAGATTGCAAGGGGACTCGATCAACTAGTGTTCTACGACGTCATGAAGAAGACAGGAAAACGAGGTGAGCGCTAGAAGTACTGGGATCCACAGAGTGGAGAAAAAAACTCTGTGAAGCGGATCAGTAAAGTGTCAAATGAAGTCGAAGGATTTTCTACAAAGGCTATCGAAGTGGGTTTTGAACCGTGCCCAAGACCCATTTTTCCTAGGTTTCCCTCCAATCTAGATGATTATGAATACCGGGGTAGAGTCTTCTCGGGCTTGAAACGGCAGGAATGCTTTGACCATCGTGTATCAGATATGATTTTTACATCTGTGAATAATTCTAAATCTCTTGTCAAATGTGCTTCTAGTTTTCTGTGGTACGTACTTTGTCGTCTTGATCGTATAGTCGCTATTATTCCGTTCTGTGTAGTGCTCGTCAAGATTCTATCTTAAACGGAGTTCTTCCAGATTAGAATATGATCTTGAGCGATCGCTCATTATGCCTCAGTCCGTTATGCGTCCACATCACAGTACTTTGATGTTGTAGTAGTAGGTGGCGGATTGGTTGGCAAACGCTATGGCCTGCATAATGGGTTTGTACTAGGCTATTTCTAGCTCTGTTTGGCCTTGGATCTTCTTCATGATCGAGGTTTGCCTCGCTGTATCATCTGCTGCACTTTCAGGTCAAAATCCTCAGCTATTTTCCAAGCGCGTCCTTCTTTTGGAACGTGGAAAAGTCAGTTCACTTCCGAATACACCTCCAGAGCATTACAGCAATCGTGTATCGGCGGTCAGCCCAGCTTCCATAGAGATGTTCAAAAGTGAGATTCTCTATCTGTCTCATATTCTTACATGTAGTGTGGATCAACCCTTTGGGACGGAATGTATCCATTTGGATACACGGTTTTGTGAAGGTTCCTTCTCGCTGGGAAAGGTTTTACTCCTAACCTAAAGTAATCATTCGAAAGCTTAAGTCTTGGCGATTTGATGATTTGTTTGAGTCACGAAAACCTTCTTTTTGCGTTGTACACCGAAAATAATACTATATCTCACGCTCAGCTTGCGTTGTTCGCTCGGCTGAGGTCTGTGGGTGGCTTTTCGTTAGACTATGGATAATCATTCAGTATGCCTTATAATTATTTTTGAGCCATGCATGTGGTCTGTTATGGGCATTTATACAGTGCAATAAACATTTCCAGGTCTTACAGCCTCGTCAGCACAGTGCCTTTCGTCTTAGCCAATTCTTCGACGAACCCAACCCCTTAGCTTGAGGAAATGCAGACGTACTATTTACACGTGCCATCAAGTACAAGATATACTAAATGGGCTGTGTTGTACAGTCGATTGCTCTTGGTTGGTACTTATGAAACATCATACCGTTTGAATAATCATCAGGCATATTGAATTTGAGCGTGGTCTGAAGAAAACACTCGAAACGAAAGATAATATTTCATAAATACCAACCAAGAGCAATAGTGTACAACACTGCTTATTGGTGATTTTTATTTGGAAGCGCGTGTAAATATTACGTGTGCAGTTCCTCTATGTAAGGTTTTCTCCCCAGGAATGGTTCAGACGAAAGGCGCCGTAGAACTGACGAGGCTGCAGAGTTGAACACTTGTATTGCCCTGTGTGCCCATAAAAGACCACGTGCATGTCTCAAAAATGTTATGAGACATGCCGAAATTTGAGCGTGGTCTGGAAAACATCGTGACGAATGGTGATCATCCAGTAGCCTAAATCTCGAAAATTTTGATGCTAGAGTTTATATGATAATTATCTTTGAACCACGCATGTCAGCGGTCTGTTGAATGGTCTGACTTATAGAGATCGATACACGTGTCTCGATCTTGCGATCTCGCCAATCGGGCAGTTATCCTTTCGTCTTTTTCGCCAATCTTGTGTGGGTGCTTCAGTCCCCACACTATGAGTTAGCGACGACGAACATTTTACACTCTGTGTCCAGTAAAACTTTCACCAACACAGAGTGTTGTACACTCGATTGCTCTTGACTAGTATGTTTAACAATCATATCTTTTGTTCGAGTGTTTTCTTAAGCTCACAGCTCAAATTCCACTATGCCTGATAATTATTTTTGAGCCATGCTTGTCAGTGATTTGTTAAATGGGCTGATTTCAAGAGCCCGATACACAGACACGTGTTTCGATCTTGCGATCTCGTCAGATGAGCGGTTACTCTTCTCTTTTTGCCAATCCGGTGTGGGTGCTCCGTTTAACAGACCGCTGACATGCGTGGCTTAAAAATAATTATTAGGCATATTGAAATTGAGCTGTGTTCTTAAGAAAACATTCGAAACGAAGTCTAGAGGTTGTTTTTGAAGAGTTCACATGGAGAGCTGTTAGGGCAAGAAGAAGATCACGTTCCGCACTTGAAGTAGTTAGTTTGTTGCTTGAACATTGTAGCGGGTTTATTTGGCAGTATGAAACGAGAGAAAGGTTAGTACCCATAGAACGATAGAACAAAATATGTTCTGCTGTTCTAATACAAAAGATTAGAAAAATCTTCTGAAGCAGAAAATAATTTTTTAGTATATAACGGAAAATCACGCGCTTCTCAAATGACGCGCCTCCCAAGGTGGTATTAAAACTGTTGTGCGCAGCGTCATTCGAGAGATGCGCAATTTTCGATAGTCATTCGGCAATTTTTTCTCCGTTTCGGGAATTTTTCCAAGTTTTTTTTTTTTTTGGAAATCGAGGAAGAGACTTTGTTCAATCTCTTTATAGGTGCAAGCTTCCTTTTTCGTTTCACATTTTTGACTAAATTCGCTATGATTTTCAAGCTGACTATTCCGAATGCGAAACTTAATTTTCTCCTCGCTATAACAGGCCTTCTGTGTAGGTTTCTTTAAAAAGGAATTTTTAGCATAAAATTTGTCGAGATGCAAGCTATTAAAAGATTACCTATAATCTACGCAAAAAAATCGCCCCGCAGACGTCAGTTGAACAACTAGATCAAACTGATTAGGAACCCAATACTATTTTTCCCACTCCAGGGCAATAAGAAAGCTTTTCATAAGCCGATCACATTATTTAAGTCGCGAAGATTTGAGCTTTTGAATATTTACAGCAAGTTCAAAGAAATGATTTACTTTAGCAATAAAGGCTCTTAGGAAATCGTTATTTCCAAATGTGGAAATTTCGTTCCGAAAAGGTCAATGTTGCGTTGACTTTATAGTAGAGGAGCTGAGTGGTGAGAATACTTTGTTCCTTTTTCTGTCCATTTTTCAGAAATCTTTGATCGACTTCTTTCCAGAACTGGGTGTGTGGAAACGTATTCAGTCTTATAGAGTAAAGAAAGTGGACAGACTTCGTGTAAGCGTCTTTTTGTGTATCTGCTTTTTTTTTGGAATTTCTCGCAATAATTTCTAATTATGTTTCCCAGTTCAGGTAATCGATAATTGTTCTCAAGCCGAGTTTAGAGTTTGATCGACCTCTCCAAACACCAAGGGTGAGTTAATTGACATTTGGTCATTCA